ATTTCAAAGTGCCTAAATGCATGTGTTTAACTGCTACCCTGCCTGTTCCGAGGGCTCAAGTAGAAAAGCAGTTTGTTTGTGGACAAACCAGGTTGAGTTCTAATCTTTCTGATGCATTGTGGACTCGAAGATGCGTTCATCTGGATTGGTAAATCGTCTTAAGCATACAAGTTCAGGTTTGGAGGAGAAGGCAGTTCTCGCCTTAATTTACGAAATGTAGCTAAGCTATCAGATAAAAATGTATCATATGATTGATGATGCAATCGCGTTCGAGATTTGGTTCAGAGCAACTTAAAAGACCGGTTCAAGTTTCACGCCTCTTTCAGAAGAGCCATGTGTTTGTTACCGTAAGAGCAACCCTCAAATCACCATTGGCCTGGTTAATCCATCAGATGAAGCTAATTTTTCCTATGGCAACGTCTAGTCAAACTAGCTTGCTGCAAGCAGAAACTAATTTAAGGGCGGATCAGCAATAAAGCCAATCTTTGCATTCCAACTATATTCACTCTAGATCGTATACCGAAATGAATGAATGATAGCTGAAGTTTCCCATAATCATATGAGTAAGCCCAACGGTTTCTATGAATTTAACTCAGATTTGATTCTCATCATCACCCTCAGCGGCTCTTCGACCAAGTCAAGGTTGAAACCGCAGTCCACTTCTGCGTGGATGAGAATATCTTTTCGTAAGCAAGGCCATGCCAAATCCAATGGAAACGTGGGACCTGTTGATATGATTGTGGGAAAATTCAACTATCAGTCCTTCATCACCTTATACAGCCTATAGTAAATAAAGCTCTAATTCAAGATCCATTTACTATGAATCTTTGAATTCGTCTGAGGATCCTAATGAGATTGAGTGGAGGCACAGGTTGGTAGATCGTATAGCTCAACCGAAATGATAATATATTTTGGGTTGCCTAAATGCACCAATTTCTACATTGATAAATATAGCATTGGATTGCGCTTGTGTGTGTTTTTGCCTGTGCGTTCGACAATGCTACCGAAGGTTTCAGACATTTGATCGCTTTCGGTCACTTTTTAATTTATCTCTTCACTTCAGATCATTCATTTATGCAATGTGAGCATAGGCTATTTTGAGGACGAAAATGAATTGTTTTGCTCTGTGAGAAAGTATATGGCTAGATTTGTATATGAGTTTCAATTAATCTTGAGCCATATGAATGTTAAGTTGACTTTTATTTCGTAAGGAAGTGTAATGTAGATTATTCACGACTATGAGCTCGTGAATTACCCGAATCCATAAACTGTGATTTAGTACACTTGTGCAGACGGAAAAATCTTGCATTCACATGAGGACCCAAATAATTCTAGGCCTCCTTAACTTCCACTTTTTTTTGAGTATATATGTCATATAGTGATTTATTGATGAGTTTTCTTGAAGCCGCAGTAATAAGGATGCCAGATTTGATAATACCATTAAATTATGATGGTAGACAATGGTTCAGCAATATGGCACAGGAGCTCAAGAAGAAAATTTCCATATTAAACTCATACGACCGACGATCGAGGGGACTCTGTTGCGATACCCTGTATTGATACTTCCATCTATATAATGACTGATTTATTGAAGATACTTATTACAGCTCTCATTGTATATGAAGAAACCACTTCTGATCAGATTGTATTCTATGCTGTTAGTTGCGTAAATCACTCAAGCACTAGCACTGCAGACCAGCATACCGAGAATCACATTGATTTTGATCAACTGTCATTATAAGTAAACGTTAGGGACTTTACAAATTAGTTCGTTATTATGGAAATTTCGTTGTCCGGATTTTACCCGTATACATATGAGGCAGACTCGGTTTCTTGGCCTTTTGGTAAATGAAAAAGCCCGATAAAGGGTAGAATTTCGACAACAATCCTTTGATAATAATCTTGTTGTGATAAATCACATTTTGTGTGAGATTGCATGATTATGGGATGCCGCTAGAAGAATACGGCTTTTCGTAGTTTATATAAAGTTCTTTTATTTTAATATGATATGTTTGTATCCTGCATGCAAGGGAACTTACAAATCAGAGGGTACCAACCTCTGAACGCATTTCTGTAGATTCATCATACCAATACGATCCACTGGGTGAGGCTATCATCATGTTAGTCGAGAAAATCAAACGACTGCAGAGCGTTAAGAGTCAGCTGTCGTCTTATGGTGGGATCGACCCATGAAGCTCTTAATCAGACAAATTTACACGAAATCAAACTCACCACAAATTATGTCATCTGAACAGATATTCATTAAGGTCCAGTTGTATTTTGGCAATAATTCTCGGCTGATGGCTACTGTCGAAGTGTAATTGTGAGAAAAACTGTTTTACTTTCTCATGTTAAACTCAAGAATTGCTTTATGCTGTATCGTGACGGCAGTCTATTCTTTCAGACACACATGATGACTCCATCTTACACCATTGATCGAACCGAATTGTGTAGAATACAAGTGAAATATATTAACATTTCCAACAAAATAGTGAATTATGTATCCTGCAGTTACTTGCGATATTTTATGCTCATTACTCAAGTCCATGCTTTAGTAACTATTCGCCAGAACTAATGCAATAGTGACCAGTCGAGGCCGGCCGAGACTCATAAACACCAGATACCTAGCGAAAAGTCCTGTCAGGTGTCTGCGAATTATCCTTCTTCCCAAATAGCACAGGCCAGCTTTAAGATGACTGCATTCTCACTCGATTTTTGGGGGATATTATGTTCCAAAGGCCGGAGCTGATGAACCAAGGCCAGAAAATAGGCTTTTTGGCTTGAGAGGCAGTTGTGGGGTTTTGAGCAAAAAGTGAGATTATATGAAGACTACCGGAACGGACCAACCGAGAAACAGATGAGACCGAATGACTCGAAGGGAAGGTTAATTGATGCCTCTTTGAATGTAAGAATGAGCAGGTTTGACTTTAATTACAAGAGGGTGCCATTCTCCAAGCTCATCTCAATTGCATCATTTGGTTAAGATAGACCGCCGGATAGTGACAACATTATATGAGTTGTTTTCACACTATTTTGTTTATGTTGATGAAGGACTGGAAGTTGAATTTTCCCACAATGATATGAGTATAGCTTATGTTTTTCATTGAATTTCACATTGCCTTGCTTTCCCAAAAGATGTTCTCATCCAGAGTAGACTGCAGTTTCGACCTCGTATCAACACCCCAAGCGGGAGTCGAACCATGACGGTGCAGCGTGTAAGTTCGACACGTTAATCTCTATGCCAATTTGCCACGAGTGCAATTGGGTGACAGGACAGATGTGTATTTCAAGTGACATCATTGGCTGACTCGGTTTCACCTGGCTTTGGGTCACACGTAGATGCCAGGCCATGGCAAACCTGCACAAATGGCCTTTGTGTATGTCTGCGTCGTGGCTTAAGGAGTTGGTTGAAATGTCGTGCATGAATCGAATTTTGACGTAAGTATGGTTGGTTATCATGGAAAAGCTGGGACAGAATATAGCAAGGTTGACCCAAAGGCTAAACTTGGATGACCCAATTGGTATTACATGTGCCGTAATGTTGTGAATTGACAGCACTAAACACGACTTGTGTGGTACAGGCCACGAAGTATCTTCACTTCCTAAAGGGGTGAATTTATACAAAAGATGGTAATTTTAACAGCATACGGGAATAAGTCCCTTTTTCGCTGGTCCTGAAAACATCCTTTTCAATGCACACCTTCATTTTTTGACTCTGAACAAGAATTTCGTATACAGAAAGTGCATTATAATAGCTATAAAGTATACCAAGTATACCCAGTTTTGGGTGTGAAATCTATTCTTCTCAAAAGCAAATCAAAATATTTGAAAAAAGATTAGATTTTAACCAGACCTACAATGTATAGTTTTACATGTGAACTTTACAACAAAGCAGCAATGATTCCTATCAGTTTGCCTTTCACAGTTTTGTACAAGGCTGAATTCGCCCGGTACTATTCACCCTCGACAGGATGTGGCTCTTTTGGTTCTCCTGCTTCTGCCACAATCAGACGTAATGCTGTATTTGACTGCAAGTTACTTTGGCTCCACAGCACAATATTGGCTTCACAACAGTAAGATTAATAGATTCAAAGCAGATCTAAACTTCATTCCGCTACTAATAGAGGAATAGATAGACCTAATTTTCGTCAATTTAGCATTCTCAAAAATTAATCCAACTTACCAGAATTGTGCTGATCTTCTGCCGTAAAAACTAGTAGCAGTTCCTCTATGGAGGACAAAACATGTACATAATTGTATGCCTTTTCCTTGTTACAAAATGTCATCCAATCTCATAAGGTGGAATAGTCTGTAAAAATGCTAAGGGATTTGGTGTTTTGGCATAAAGAAACCACGAAATTAGGTACGAAATAGTTTATTCATGAACAAATTATAGGCAACGGCTGACCCTAGTAACAATTTCCGGCTTTACCTAAGTACGCCCAACTTGCAAGCAAAATGCACACTTTAGCCAAGACGGGAAGATCAAAATGTTTGTCTGAGTCGTGTTCATAATTGATGCGACGAGGTTTTGGATCAAGATTTGTCATTCAAGTATCCAATTTAAACGCCATATAATTAGCCTTAATAGGGGAAGTGTAATAAAGTACAACAGGGAAGAAATAAAGCGAGTAAAAGTTAATGATCAAAGATGAAAATAAAAGGAGCCGAGAGAAGCAAATAAGAGTGATGTTAATTGAGTTATTTCGAATGCTTTTTAATCTGATTAGTCCTGATGGTGGCTGAGTCCTCTACATTCCTCCTATGAAGAAGCACCCAGAACTCTTTCATAGTGTCGTTGTACAGAGACTATTACAATCCACTCAATAAATATTGTCAGGATAAGGAAGACTAAAATCGACTTATTCACAAAATCAACTTTCTATAGGCCAAGAAAGTGTTTCGAGTCAATCAGTTTTCTTTCGATTTTCTTCTCTAGGGAGATGCATTACAGAAATTTCTTTAGAAAACTTGACACGGACAACAACGGAAGTCTCAACCTGAGGGAGGTGCGCGACTTTCTCGCTCTTCTCGGACATACAGTGGAGGTGGCAGTGATTCGGGAATTTATTCGTTTCCAAACCGGCGGAATGTCAGACCAGATAGAGGAAGAGACTTTCGTCAAGTTCATTAAGAAAGAGGTGATAAAATGAGACCTAAATGGAGGTGAGCCGATCTCAATAATGTGAATCTTTTTCCACTGATCCTATGGTGAAGATTTCTATAGAACAAAATTGACTATTCACTTTTGCAAGGGATCATTGTGCTTAGTGTTGTATAGCACTTTATCTTTTCCAGCGCCAAGAGAACGTGTATATTTCCATACGGAAAGAAAACGTGTATAAGTTATCCATTTTGTGCTTTAGCATTTGTTTCTGCCAGAAAACCTGCTGCGAATTGTTAATAATATGCAGAAAAATAACTCCTAATATGAATAACGTGCAATTATTGTTGGTGTGACCGAAAAAAACGTAATGTGCTCAACAAGTGTTTTTATTCTTACACCTGAATTGGCTAAATTCATGCGTGGATGATAAAGAGAGGAATAATAATGGTAAGGACTGAGGGTTGCATTGAGGCTGAGGGTGAAAATCATTTTAGACAAAAGCCGTTGAATTACTGGCTTCATTTTTTACCGACTGATGGATAAACTGCCTACAATTAATTCATGAATTATCTAAAATATATGATTGGGTAGCGGTCTGAGAGTGAGCTTTAATCCAGGGTTTGCTATCTACATGATTGAAATTCCGGTCTGTCAAAACAAATCGCGTTGTTTTTGAGACGGGCACTTGCCGATTTGGAGGCAAATCCCACGGAATAATACGGTTAAAAGACCTTATTGAGGGAGATGATACAACCTAGCCTAGGGCAATATTGCATTTTAGCAGGGCAAATAGACTCAAATAACAAATATGACAGCTCTAACCGGCTTAAGCTAGGAAATCCCTTAAAAATTAAATA